TGTAGGCACAAAAGTAGTCTCTGAGTTTTGCAACTAATAAATGGCAACACTGCTGATGGGTAGGTGAGAACACAAAAGAACAATAAATCAATACACAAATGAACAGTAACCACTCATACTAATTTCATATGAATTAGAAGAATCAATATATAATTTGGGTGGGAACCCAGCCCTCTTAAAATAGTCATAGACAAAGAGTACCATCAAATTAACTACTTAGCTTAGTTTACAAGACTTCACTTTTGCTCAGCAAAGACTGCCATTGAATAGGGAACAGCCTGAATGTACCAAGCTTCCCTTCTGAATTAAGATAGGGTATACACCTTAAAGTATGTTTCTTGTCTGTCTTCTGAGAATTTTTTAAGATATATTTGAAAAAAAAATACAATTGTGAGTCTCCTTAGTTTTAAATTTATAATGTATTCTTTACATAGGCAAAATAGTAAGCATATGTGTGCTAGAAATTCAAGCAAAAAAAAAAAAAAAGGTCCAGCTTGTGACAAAGCATCACTACGGATCCCCCTACAGCTCAGTCCCCTACAGCTCCCTCAGTCACAGCTCTAAACAAGCCACAGAAATCAGAATAATCATGCTGAAGCATCTTATGGATTAACAAAGACAGATCAATTCTGTATAACCCATTTTGTTTTTCATTCAAATTATCTAAAATTGATCATTTGTAATTGGCTGTTAAGAAACATAATCAATTACTGGAACACTCCATTTCTCAATCACCTTGGATACACAGGCATTTACTGCAAACATGGTCCTCTATTTAGAGCAATTCACATGTAAAGCACTCCAATAATTACCCTCTTCATTCAATACACATCTATTAAGCCCTATTGTTGTGCTAGGCACTGTTGGTATTAGAAATACCATGCTGAATCAAATTAGCCCCTGCCTTCAGAGGCAGAAGGCTTTGCTTACAGACATGCAAACATTATATAATGAGACAAGTGCCAAAACAAGACGTATACAAGCCACTATGGAAATACACAAGGGGAAGGACTTAATTCTTCCTGGGCAGGTGAAGAAAGGCTTGTCAGAATATTTAACTGAGTGTTAAAGGGTCAGTATGAGTTGGTTTGGTAGATACACTAGAGGTCATTCATGAGAGATGATTTGACAGACCCACAGCCTGTGCAAAGTTAAGAAAAGAGTACTTGATTGGAATGACAACAGAGTTTGGTAATAGGTAAGAATGAAAAAGTATGATCAGAATGAGGCAGGAAAATAACGGTCTGGAGGCAGGGAACATAAAGCCAATTTGCACTTCAGCTATAACAGGAAATATCCTCTCCATAGGGCATATGCCATAAGTTACTTTGTAACTTTATTTCATCCTCTTCATTTACATAAGGTGTACCCCAAGTAAAGGCTATTTAAACTCATCAAAAACTCTGGGGCCTTTGAAACCCTATGCTTAGGCCTGTTCCCATACTATGGTGTGTACGTTCATTTTAAATAAATCCCTTCATTCCTTCCTTGCTTTGTTTCTGTGTTTTGTTCAATTCTTTGTTCAAGACACCAACAACCTGGAGGCCTTCCACATTAACAAGAATAGGGCACAATGATTCTTTAACAGGCCATGTTAAGACTTTATCTCGATGAAAATGTGAAGCACTTAAAAGGTTTTGAACAAGGGTGTGGTAACAGTTTGAGTTTTAGACAAATCTTTCTGGCCATACAACAAAAGGAAAGACCAAAAAGAATAAAGTCTAAAGGTAATGAAGTCTGGTAGACCTATTAAAAGAATATTAAAAGAAGCCAAGTGCAATGGCTCATGCCTGTAATACCAGCACTTTGGGAGGCCAAGGCAGGAGGAGAGCTTGAGCCCAGGAGTTCAAGACCAGCCTGGGTGACACAAGGAGACCCCATCTCTACAAAAAACTTAAAAATTAGCCAGGCATGGTGGTACATGCGTGTGGTTCCAGCTACTCAGGAGGTTGAGGTGTGAGGATTGCTTGATCCTGCAGTGAATTATGATCACCACTGCACTACAGCCTCCAGCCTGGGTGACAGATCAAAACCCCATCTCAAAAAAGTATTAAAATCACTACCATCCTTAGATCAAGGCAATAATATTTGGTCCTCCTATGCCACACCTCTCCCCTAAGAAGTGAGCAGTGCAGAGAGCCAAATGGAAGTGCCTTACTGGATCTATCTCCAGAAATTACTTTCTACCTATCTAAAACCCCAGAACTCTGCTCAAATGGCCCTGAGTCCACTTCCAAGACAGGTCCTCATTCAGATATATGCACCACTAGGCCTGAAGAGGAGATGAGAGACAGCTGTTGAGAGGAGAGGGGGGGCTATGGAGAAAGTTTGGACATTTTGCCAAAATTTAAAAATATGTACATTTTAAATTTAAAATATATATACTTGATTTAGAAATATGTATATATTTTAATACATATAATTATAATTTGAAAATTAGCACTTCATACCATACTTATGAATAACTGAATATTTGTGCCTAGAAACCTAAGGTTGTTTATGATACAAAATACTGACCTGAAATTTTAAAAAACTTAATGTTTGAAGAAGATTTGAAGTAATTATTTCACAGACAAAAAATATTTTCCCTATAAGACAGACATACAAAAGTCAGGATCAACTTCTCAGAAAGTCAAAGCAATTTGAAGATAGATATGCCAAACAGGTGTTGATAACAGATTAGTTTAAAAAAAAAAAGACATTTAGTGAAGGATCCACGTGTGGATGAAAGGCAGGTATCTGTTATACACAAATGGGCCCATTAGCTACAGAGATGCATTACCCTCACATTAAACAAAGACTCAGTGAGTAAAACACTCTGGCGAGCATCTGTTGGTTAATGACAAAGAAAACCACATGGACCCTCTGAGGCCAATTTCCATCCAGCTGTAAGCATGGAAGCAGCAAATACATGCACTGCTTTTTAATATCAACCCCAAATAACTGTGAAAAAGAAACTCCTTGGCTATTTTGTGGCAAAGGCATTCCAAGTATCAATCACGGATGCTAAACAAGACACCTGGAAAAAGTTAACTCCCTAAATCCAGGCTGGCATTTAACTTGCTTGTTACCAACAGACTGCAGTAAAAGTGACATTGAGTAACTTCCAAGGTTATGTTGAGAAAAGTCATGCAGGTTCTGGGGCTAAGTTTGGGGTGGTTGCTACATAGCAATGTTGCCAGATAGAATTTGGTACATGAAACTGGGGTGCTAACATAACAAAAACCTAAAAGATGTGACGCTGGTTTCAAGACTGGGTGGTGGACCAAAGCTGGACTCAGGCTTGAAGAGCCTGGAAGAAACTATTGAAAAGGAATTAAAGGAGAGTTAAATGTTTTCAGAAAGACCTTGTTATGAAGTGGCAGAAAAATTAGCAAAACTGTTGCCTGTGGTAAGGTAAAAAACAGAAAATGTTGGTAATGAACTATTACTTCTACCTAAGGTAATTTCAAAGCAGAATGTCCAAACTGTCAACTAGTTTCTTTTATTTGTATAGTATAAGGTACAAAAAGAGATCAGCTAAAAAAGAAAGTACGTTTCAAGCAGAATTTAGGGGAAATAAAAAGCAGCCAGCAATTGCTGGGTCCAAAAATAAAACTATTTCTCATCCACAATGTTTCCTAGCAGAGAATACTCAAAGTAAGAAAAGGTCTGAGGACAAAGATCAAGCATAGGATGTAGAAAAGAAAAATCTAATCTCAAGATAGGGAAGAAAGCCAAGGGTGTTACTGTGAGATCTGGCTATGTTTCTCTCCTGATTTATTCTTCATGATCTTCTTCCCAGTTCCTTTTCTGCACTTGTCCACTAAATCTAGATGTCCCTAAGGATTTTGTTCTCAGTCCTGGGCAATTCCTTCTTCGATTACTCTCTAAAATCTATTAACCTCAAATCTCTCTCCTTCAAGCCTCTACCTCCCTCTAAGAACAGCAGACAGATCTGCACATCTCCACCCAACTATCTCAGAGAAACATCAAACTAAATATTACAAAATCCTATCTTACACTCCAAACGTTCCTTCCATACTTGAATACAAACTGGAAAGGAATGACTGGAAACAAATAGTACCACATCCATTTAATTGCCCAACTTGAGAGTCATCTCTGATTTCTACGCCTCTTTCTCCTCACCCAATACCAATATTTAATTAGTCACCATTTTCTACGGATTCTACCTGCTAAATCTCTCTGGCATCCCTCCCTTTTCAAGTTATCTCCTATCTGGACTCTATATAGCCTTCTAAGTGGTCTCTCCATTCCAAAATATCTTTCCTACTACTCTCAAAACCATCTTCTTAAAATAATATATTAGCCATGTTAATCTCCTGCTGAGAATCCTTCAAGAGCTCCCCATCAAAAGGCTTTGGTACAGCTTACAGGTAGGCACTTTGTGATCTGGCCCTTCCCTGCAAACTGTTCCCACATATCCTTTATCCAACCACATCAAAAAACAGGACTTATACCTATGGTGTTTATGAATACATACTTTTCTCTCTGCCTAGAACGTGTTGTCTCTTGTTATGAATACTAACTACGTTTTCGTTTAGTACTTTAACAGTTTTGGAGCACTACTCTGTGGCAAATCTGGCAGGCCCTATGCCCAAGACTACGCACATGAAAGAAGCACACAGCCTGGAAAAGAAAGAAAATAATTACAACACAGGGATTTATAATGGAAAGTAGTATGGTGTAGTGGACTGACTCCTTGGACGAGGTGGAGGGATATGATGAACAGTAAGCAAAATAGTGAAATAAACACAATATAATCTCCTGGAGCAGCAAGTTTTTTTGATACAAGTAATTTAAAATATTTTTATATTATTATGCATATTTATTATAAGTAAAATACAAATTTACATTAAAGATACAATGAAAACTTAAAAATTGATGGGCCATTTTGGGCAAGAATGACTGTTCAGATTAGAATTTAAAGTAAAATCACTAAAGAAGAGGAGCCATTTAAGTCAGAGAGAGACCTTTTTATAATTGAGCAAGTCACCTACCTTTTGGCTCCGCCTATTCAAAAAGCCAATCCTAGGTTCAGTTCAAGTTCAATGAAGCAACACTGAAAAATTGACAAGATTCCCGTAGTATTTGCCGCAGCCAGCTCATCCTCTATACAGCCTTGTATAGCGGGCTTCAGACCTGGCATGGAAAAAGTCTTACTGATGACCAAGGAGTCTTGAACTCATCCACTTTGGTGGGTGGGTCCAGATTAAAGTTGCCTGTAATGATGTAAAGAAAGTCAAGAGGCTGAGAAAAAGTTTACCCTCATTCCAATTACTGCAGGTACTGAATTATAATAGAAAAATTGTTCACCCCACTCCCAGAATATCAGCGCTGGAGAAGTTACAGCCCTGGAAAAATGGAAAGAACTCAGAAAAACCCCTGGGTTGACTAGGACCCATTTTAACTTGATATGTGTGGAATGGTGGCTTAGGCCTAAGACAAAAGGCAGCCCAGAAAAGCTGTGGGATAACAAACCAAAAAAAGAACTACTCAAATTCTGTTTTGCTTCTTTTGTTTCCCACTACCTGGTCCCAAATGAGCATTACTCAGTGATAAAAATTCAGACAGTGGCTTCCTCTGGTCAGGGATGAGAATGTCAAAAAAGAAATCAGAAGGAACTTCTGTGATAATAAAATGTTTTCAATTTTTATAGGAGAGCAGCTACATGAGTAGCTACGTTCATCAAATCTCACAGAACGGTATATTTAAGATCTGAAGATTTTATCATAAAATTGAAATATATACCTCAAGTTTTAAGGTATTTCTTAAGAGATCACAATAGATACAACTTTAGATCATTCAACTAGCAGAATTTAAAAGTCTGAAAAAAAAAACAAGTATTTGAGAGGCTGTAAAACAACAGGACCTCTTATACATTGACGGTAGGAGAATAAAATTGCATAAGCTCTTTGGAAATAAACTTTGAATTACACCTTTAACATTCATTGCCCCATGACACAGCAATTACATTCATAGATGTAGACTCAAAAGAATCTCTTCTACATGTATAAGAGATTGACAAGAGTCATGGATAGAAATGTTTTTGGCAACAATATTGAAAATTGCAAACACCTGAAAGTAAGATTCTTATTCTTAATTCCAGGAATAAATTAAGCATAATCACTTTCAAATATTTAAGTTGTCTTTATGTTTTAACAATAACCCAGTTTTTATACATATTATAGTTTATTTCAAGGTGCGCATATACAAAAATCCAAAATTAAGGCACAGAATTAAGGTACCATAATGATTTTGTAGTTTTAAAAGCAGGAATTCATTTATTCAACATGACTTTTACAGGAGTAAAGACAGAATTGACCTAAATGCTGGTTACATAAATTATACTATAACCACACACAAAATATCCTGTGGTTATAAACACAAATGAAGTAGAACTACATATACGAAAAATTTTCCAAGATACAGAAGTAAGTTCAAGAAGCAAAAAGTAGAGGAACGATCCAAGATGGCCGATTGCTAACATCTCGGGATTGCAGCTCCCAGTGAAACCTCAGAAAACGAGAGGACGCCACAGTTTCAGAAAAATTTTGGTCACTGACGGAGCAGAAGATTCCCAGTGGAGGAGCTCCACAGGTCGCCAGCACAACTCTTGTGGCCGGTGCAGCGGTTGTGCTGGCCCCTCGGCGTGGCAGCTCTATGTGCAGAGTAAATGGGACTGGTTCCCCTTCTGACCAAAGTTTGGCGCTCCGGGAAGGCAGAGTCGCCTATTACAGACTCAAGAAGGAAGACAGACTGGAGATTCCTGGGCAGAAAAGCACCATCAGTCTTAACACCGCTGTTTTGGCAGGCGCAGTGGGTTGCTCATATTTGGGCCCTGGGAATTAACAACTTGGACGTCCACTCAGAGACCTAATTTGAAAGTTGGTAATTACAAAGATGACAGGTGGATAAATTTACAATGATGGGAAGAAACCAGCATAAAAAGGCTGAGAGTACTCAAAATCAGAATGCCTCTCCCTCCAAAGAGGATCACAGTTCCTCATCAACAAGGGAACAAGACTTGATGGAGAACCAGTGCATCCCATTAACAGAATCAGGCTTCAGAACATGGATAATAAGAAACTTCTGTGAGTTAAAAGAACATGTTGTAGCCCAATGTAAAGAAACTAAGAACTTTGAAAAAAGGTTTGACGAAATCCTAATGAGAATAGACAACTTAGAGAGGAATATAAGTGAATTAATGGAACTGAAGAATACAATGCAGGAACTCCGAGAAGTATGCACAGGTTTAAACATTTGAATTGTTCAAGCAGAAGAAAGGATATCAGAGGTCGAAGTCCAACTTAATGAAATAAAACGAGAAGACAAGATTAGAGAAAAAAGGATAAAAAGGAATGAGCAAAGTCTTCAAGAAATGTGGAACTATGTGAAAAGACCAAATTTACGTTTGATAGGTGTACCTGAATGCGACGGAGAGAATGAATCCAAGCTGGAAAATATTCTTCAGGATATTATTCAGGAAAATTTTCCTAAACTAGCAAAGCAGGACAATATTCAACCCCAGGTAATACAGAGAACACCACAAAGATATTCCTCAAGAAGAGCAATCCCAAGGCACATAATCATTAGATTCACCAGAATTGAAACAAAGAAGAAAATACTAAGGGCAGCCAGAGAGAAAGGTCAGATTACACACAAAGGGAAGCCTACAGACTTACAGCAGATCTCTCAGCAGAAACTCTACAAGCCAGAAGAGAGTGGGGGCCAATATTCAACATCCTTAAAGAACAGAATTTTCAGCCCAGAATTTCATATCCAGCCAAACTAAGCTTCACAACTGAAGGAAAAATAAAATCTTTTATGAACAAGCAAGTACTCAAGAGATTTTATTACCACCAGGCCTGCTTTACAAGAACTTCTGAAAGAAGCATTACACATAGAAAGAAACAACCAGTATTAGCCTTTCTATAAATATACCAAAAAGTAAAGAGCATCAACATAAAGAAGAATTTACATCAACAAATGGATAAAACAGCCAGTTAACATCAAATGGCAGTAATCCTAAATTTAAATTGACTAAATCCCCCAATCAAAAGATACAGCCAAAACCCAATGGCATGATGCATCCAGACCCATTTCACATGCAAGGATACACAAAGACTCAAAACAAAGGGATAGAGAAAGATTTACCAACCAAATGGAGAGCAAAAATAAATAAATAAATAAAACACAGTTGTTGCAATTCTCATATCTGATAAAATAGATTTTAAAGCAACAAAGATATAGTGGTAAAAGGATCAATGCAACAGTAAGAGCTAACAATCCTAACACCCAGATACACAGAGACTCAGACTCAATGAGACAGAAAATTAATAGGGATATCAAGGACTTGAACTCAGATCCGGAACAAGTAAACTCAATAAATATTTATAGAGCTCTCCACTTTAAATACACAAAATATACATTCTTGTCAATACCACATCACACCTACTCATAGGTTTAAATGAAACATTGATTGGCCATTATTAATACCCATTTTTTTTAGAATAAAGCAACATTTCCGTTCTCTCTCCCTCTTTTTCTTCCTTTCTTCCTCTCCTTCACTCCCTTTTTTTCTTTCCTTCTCTCAAAAAAAGAAAAAAAAGAAATCAACTTGTAGACCTCTAGATCCAGTTCAGCAATGTCTCTCTCATTGCTTGATTTCCTTCTCTTCTCCCTTCCTTCTCTTCTCCCTTCCTTCTCCCTTCTTCTCCCTTCCTTCTCCCTTCCTTCTCCCTTCCCTTCCCTTCCCTCCCCTCCCTTTCTCTCCCTCCCTTCCTCCCTTCTAAATAAATAAATAAATAAATAATTTTAAAAATTGAAAAATTAAAAAAAAAAAAAAAAGGAAGCAAAAAGTAGGTTGGGTCCAGTGGCTCACGCCTATACTCCCAGCACTATAGAAGGCTGAAGTGGCAGGATTACCTGAGCCCAGGAATTCTAGACCAATCTTGACAACTTAAGAAGACTCAGTCTCTAAAAAAAATGAAACATACATTAGCAGCACATGGTGGCACATGCCTGTGGTCCCAGTTACTTGGGAGGTGAAGTGGGAGGATCACACGAGACCAGGAGTACAAAGCTGCAGTGAGCTGTGATCACGCCACTGCTCTTCAGCCTGGGTGACAGAGTAAGACACTATCTTCTTTTATTTTTTTTTAAATGAGACAGAGTCTTGCTCTATCACCCAGGCTGGAATGCAGTGGCACAATCTTGGCTCACTGCAACCTCTGCCTCCCAAGGTGCAAGTCATTCTTGTGCCTCAGCCTCCTGAGTAGCTGGGACTACAGGTGTGTGTCACTACAACCAGCTAATTTTTGTATTTTTAGTAGAGATAGGGTTTCACTATGTTGACCAAGACTGGTCTTTAACTCCTGACATTAGGTGATCTATCCACTTTAGTCTCCCAAAGTGTTGGGATTACAGACATGAGCCACCACCCTGTCTTAAAAAAAAAATAAGAAGCAAAAGTAGAACAGTAAATTCTCACAGATCGAAACAAACTCCATATTTATGTATATGTATGTTTGCAAATATAATTTAAAAATAAACTGCTAATGTTAGTTTCTTCTGAAAATAGAGACAGAGGATCTAAAGTGAAATACTTACTTTTGTACTTTTGTACTATCTATGGATCCTTTTATAGTAACTAAATTTTGACTGCACACCTTTTCTATTTTTTTCAAATTATATAGAAGAAGAGAAAGAAGCCCTCAAACCTTTTTCAATTTCTAGTAAGCAAACTCTTCCATGCCCCACAGTAGTTATGATAAACTATTAGCACTCTCCTCAAATCCCATATTCAGCCCTATTGGCCTTTTTCCACAATATTGCCCACTATACTGACAAGCCAAGGACCTCGTCTTCTGCTTCAGAGAAAATGAAAACTCCCTGTATTTCCTAATTCACACCCACAAATTTGTCACTAGCTACATCCATGGGCACCTCCTACCTTCAGAAGAAAGAAGCTATTACTGGCAAATCTTGTGTTTTATCATGTGTTCTACATGCAATCTGCCATTTCTACAAGGAGCCTGTTATATTATTCTCCTCTCTCTCTACTTCCACAATATTGCTCTTACCTGTTTCCTTTTTCCCCTACCTCGGTATATATGCATGTTCAAGACTATCCTATATTAAAAAGTACCCTATGTTCCCCTCTATCTAGCACCCAAAACTCATTTGTTCCATTCACAGCTAAACTTCTCACAAGAATAGT